CATTTTAATAAAATAAATAACATTTTATTCAAAGTTTCACCCAAGCACTTCTGCGAGCATACATCATAGGTTTCTTAACAATTTTATTTTTACTATAAAAATTATCTAATCTTATTAATAATACTTACAGCCATTTATATCAACTACATTAATGTTAAAAATGATTATAATGAAGAGTTATTAATATATTCTGCTTCTAACATTTAAGTATAGATGGCGCCATTGGAGTAAAAGCATGTGCATGATATTATTTATTTATTATGTAATAAAAGATGACGTCATTACTTCATAATATACGATTTCTCCCAAAACGCGTCAAACTTTATCACGTGTATGGTCAGCACTGTTGCCATTTTTTAATAACTGTCAAAGGTTAAGTGAATATATATCGATGAAAGTGTAGGAAGACATCAATATCAAATGCCTTTAAATTATATACGTGCTCAAAATACAAAAGTTAACTTGTTTACATATATCTTAGCAAGCATTCGTAGGGCAGTGGTTATGATATCCAACTACTGATCCACGAAGGCTTTCTGATTGGCATAAGTTCGATCCTCAGCCTTAATTAGATTTAATAAATAATAAAACAGATTTAAATATTAAAATAGATCTAAAGTTGTTTTATTTCTGGCATTCCCACATAGATGGCGCCACTAGAGTAAAGCATGGGCATTATATCATTTATTTATTATATAATAAAAGATGACGTTATCACTTCGCAATATACGATTTTTCCCAAACATCAAAGTTAATAAGTATTGCCACCCTAAACAAGTAAAATAATAATCATAAGTGTTGCCACCCTCAAAATAATAATAAATGAAAATAATATCAGAAACGAAAGTATATTAAAAACAGAAACAGTACATTTAAAACAGAACAGAGCTAAAACAGGGCAAAAATAAGCAAGCGGGCAGAAATAAACACACGTGCAGAAATAAGCAACTTCCGGTTTGTTGGCGGGCAGAAATAAGCAACTTTTAGTTTATGAAACATTTTCCTTTCAGCCCGGGAAGAAATAAGCACCCCTTACCTCCATGATGACGTCTTTTCCGACGCTTATACCTCGCTGTTTACTACTCGCATTCCATTTCGTACTGTTGTCAGAGATGAAGCTAAATTACCTATTAAAGCTAAATTAAGGTTTTTTATATTTTAAACTAGACAACAGAATTAATCAAATATTTTTAATATGTATAAGCTTTTAATATTATCCATTTAATTACCAGCTTTAAATATAAATTTTAAAGTTTCATAAAGTAATTGGTTTAACCGTTTGAGTGTGAAGAGTTTTCTTATATATATATGCAAATAGTGCGGAATGAAATGCGTAGTAATTTTTTTGGAGAACAATATAAATGGTTATAATTAACACTAATTATTATGTATCAAGTAATTTTTACAAATAAAAATATTTTTTATTCTCAGTTATTACATTTTCGTAACAAAACAAGGGAAGCGCTATGGCTCTTCTCCGCATTTTTGGCACATAACAAGCGAAGCGCAATAGCACTTCGCCGCACTCAAACGGTTAATATTAAAGTTTGTTTTGCCATTTTTCTGAATTGGAATTTTATATATACTAAAACCGTATATTTTATTCCTGACCGCAAATTCTTTCAAACCTTACTATTACCATTTTATTTTCATTCGCTCGTGTGTGCTGCGACAAGGAAGGAGTAGTAGGCGAATTTGCAAACTTTTAAGTTCCTAACTTTTAAAAAATAAAAAAGTTTTTCGTTCAAAAAGAATTCTCATGTGAAAGAAAGAGAATAAAATGATTTTTTTAACATACTTATCAATGGCTACAGAATCATACTATATCATCACTGGTTATTTTGCGGAAAATATAAAAGTTAGCACTCATTACAATCTTTGAGAGTTGTTATTATCTATTTCTGAGACATTCTCTTACAGTCCAATGTGTGTCCGACTGTTTCAATATTTGGAACATTAATGGTTGAAATAGAAAATAATCTAAAAAATAAGAGATAATTCAGTGTCGGAAACAATTAGTCGCTAAAATGGACGACGACCTTGAAGAAAGTTAACACAATTATTTCATTTTCTAGTTTTTTTCTAATATTTTTAGTCCCGCAGTTGACTGATAGTTAAGACACGGTTCCCAGCAGATCACCGAAGTCAAGCATCACTGGTTGCGATCAGTGTGCAGGTGGGTGACCACTTGGATCAGTCTGCGTAGGGACTGAGGGTGTGCGGTATTGGTCCTCGTTAAACTGTGCTACCGTAAAGTGCTCGACTTCGCGCGCAGGCCGTCGGGCTACCGAAGCGGGGGTACCATCCCCTCTGCAGAGGAACAAAATTGTGATGGCATGTCTTCGGATCATCCTCAGGGATGTTTCCCAGACCGTCGCTAATAGCCCATTGTGCAGCTCAAGTGCGACGTAAATGGACAAATCAAATCAATTATGACCGTCATGAAACAGCCGTGCCAATTTTGGCTTTACTACTGCTAATGTTCCCATCAAGAATACAAGGAAACTCTTGGATCAAGTATTGGGAGAAATGATGGAACTAAATTTTGATGAAGCTAAATCACACTGCCTTACATGGAGAGGAAGAGCTCCCATGGTTAGCTTGATGGTCAGGGAAAACTCCCACCCATTTCCCGTCCAAAACAGAGGATATTTTACTTTAACACTGTGAGCGGTGCGAGCCGGTTGCAGAATTCATGTCGACCATCCATGTCTGGGATTTGAACCCAGTTCAAATCCTTAGCGCTCTTGTCGCTTATGTCACTTACATATGAAACTTTTCATTTGATTTTGTAACCGTAACTGAACAGCCGACTCAACATAATATAAATGATATAGGAAGCTATTGGTGATTCGTAAAGAGTTAAGTAATGGTTTGTAAACATAAGATTATTTATTTTCAGCTGTTACAATCGTCCCTTTATTTATTGTTACAATCGTCCCAAAGACGCCATTTCAGCTTCATTTGTTAAAAACAATGCTAGTTAATTAACAAAACTAATCTTTTTTTTCGAAATGTTAATTAAGGTGTCCACTAACATATTCGGTTAATAATTTTTATTTGTTTAAACAAAATTACTTTGTTCCAATATAATATTCTAATACCAAAAAAGTACTTACGTAGCGTAAAAATATCTTTTGAGATGTAACTCTTTCAAAAGTACATAAAAATGGTTGCTAGCAGGGGTGTACATGTAGATTTATTAAATACACCTTGTGCGCCACCTAGGAACCAAATCTAGAACGCGGCACTTGAAATTTTTGCTCTGTTACAATCGTACCCTGTTGCAACTGACCCCACTCTCCCCGACTTTCGAGAATCGAACACAAGACGTTTAGAAAATCGGCCTAGTGCCCTACCAACGGCTATCCTGGCCCTACTTATGTAACTTTTTAACAGCTGATCCAGTTTTTGGTTATAAGACTTTTAATGTTTAACTCCATACCCTTGTAATTTTGAACCTAATCCAGAAGACAGGGGAACTCCTGGATTAAGTATTGGGAGAAATTTCCTTTCGCGGAGGACTTTTTTGATGGAACTAACCCGCTTCTTCGTTATATTGAGAAGAAGACCACGAGACCCTCCCACGGCTAGTCTGATGGCACAGGGACTCCTACCCATGATCTGCCTACCATTGAGGACATTTTACGTTAGTACTGTGTTCGGTCCAAGCCGAATGCGGATTCGTATTTAATAGCTATCGTTGGGATTCAAACGCAGTTCTCCTTATTGGAAAGCGAAAGCTCTATACCCTGAGCCATCGTGACTTTACGTATGTAACTTTTCTTTTGTAACTGCCGTTGAACAGCCGACCCAATTTTTGATCAAGTTTGCTTCAAATCAAACTACTTTTTAAGGTAGAGAGTGCGTTTTTTGTTTTTGCAGTGGTGCCATCTATGTCTAAGGATGCACACGTCACAGCTAGTTTTACGAAATCCAATCATGATCCATTCATTCATCTACAGATCGTATTTTTGATATGAAGCAGAGAATGATTAATCTTCAGGTCCATATCCCCTATGTATTGATTTGTTATAGGAACTCGGAGGCAGATTTAAAGAGCACCAGTCATAACTTAATAGACTTTAGGCGGCGGGATTCAAAGTCGCGTTTTCATACTAACCAGGCTATTCCGTCCACAAAATATAATGAATTGTGATAAGTCTGAAAACTAATTCGAATCTTAATAACGAAACTTTCTAGAATACCAAACCTGTTCCCTCACATCTTAAACATATGCACCGGTAGTTTTTAAAGATTCGTTAAGGAGAAAGAAAGCTTATTGTTTACAATCGGTTATCCATAATTTGTTTTTCATAATAATTAAAATATAGCATTATTGAACAGGAAGTAAAGAAAAGATTCTTACTCTTTCATTTGTAGGTCCATGACCTCCTCTTGCTTTCCATTTTTCTATGTAATCAATGCAATTTGTGTCGTATGGATAAGGAAGGAGATTCTTTTCGATCTAAATATTTGTTAATTATTTTCAACTGTGCAGTATAAAACATATAACAATTGTGAACTTTGTGATTGAAGCACATTTTCTTCACCATTGTTATTACATGATTATAAGGTATTGAGTCTTTTTATTTATGGGACAGTTAAAAGAGGTATGTTTCACTGGTTGGTTTACCCTATATTACTTTTGGAAGATGAGATTGAAAAACATAATTTGTCCTGTTTCAGAATAAAAGAAAATATATAGAAAAATATTATACATTTTTCAGGTTTTTTTTGAGTGAATACTTTCTCGAAACTTCGAATTACGATTTATATACCTTTTAGTGTATAATAATGACTTTTCGTGACCTCTCGATTGCACAACACTAGTCGTTCAGTACACTCCTTAGTAAGACTGTAAAGTTTATCCCGTTTGTCTACAGTGTGAAGAGTGGGTTATTATTATTGCTTGTTTGAAAATTAAAGATTAAATTAATTATATCAAACTCAGTTTTATGCAAAGATAATGAAATTTATTTTAATTACTTTTTTCAAGCGAAAAGTATACTTTTTTCCCAGCTCCATTGAAAATCCTTCCTCGTAGGGATCTATTAACTGTCGAGAATTGTGAAATGAGATTTGTGCTTTTGTTTTATTGATAAATGGCGGATGTCTCACTGGGTCAAGGTTCAATGTAGAGGTAAAATCTGAAAATTTACAAAACTTTTATTGCAACACCAACAAATAAAGATAAAAATTTATAGATTCAAATGTTACAATTAATTTCTAAATTAATTGTAACATACGAATATTGCAATTAACTTAGTCTTTTCTTTAAAGAAATACTATATAAATTTTTTTTCTATTTTATTACGATCGTAGAGTAATATATTTATAAAATTAAGTCGGTTAAGTTCATAGTTTGAAAATATTATCGAAGAAAAATTGCTTTGTTTGTGATAACGAATAACAGTTGGAAGAATCCCTTTAAAGTTACTTCTCGAAAACCTCTTCGAAAAGAGAAGGCAAATTGTATTTTTAAACATGTTATGCGTAAAAAAAGTAACATTAAACTTGTAGCTTGTAAATATTTTTGTGATTTTACCCAATAATTGAATTAAACTTTGTAAGCCTATTAAATATTTATGGAGATACAGACATTTTTATAAAAATACTTATATTTGTCATGCGTTTTTCAGCTGTAACTTTAACAATATACATAAAAAAATTAACAACATTTTTAGAGCAGTACAAATTGTTTAGAAAATTTGTTCTTTAAAAATTAAAGAAAGAAAATCTCGTTAAAAATGTTGCTGAGTATAAGTAATTAAAGTAATTGTTTTATACTGCGCATGCGCGGAAAATTTAACATTTTTTTTAATAACATTTTAGTGAATCGTATTTGGCAACTAATGAAAAAAGTCCAATTTAAGCATTTAAAAAGTTTCAAGTAATTTATTAATTTGCTTTTGTACTTTTTAATCTTTTCGTACTTTTTTTTGAACTTTTGTACTTTTTGTACTTAATCAAACTTTTGATTACATCAGAGTAAAGCGAAAATGTAATCGATTACATTTTTCAATTACAGTAATCAATTACTTGTAATCATGATCACAAATTTTGATTACAACTGTAATCGTGATTACAATACTCGATTACAGTAATTAATTACTTGTAATCATAATCACAAACATTCATAATTTTGATTACAACTGTAATCGTGATTACATAACCAATTACTCTAATCAATTACTTGTAATCGTGATTACAAGTAATCATAATATATGATTGCATATAATCATGATTACATGTAATCATGATTACACCTAATTTGATTACATGTAATTATTATTACATGTAATCTAAATACACAATTACAAGACTATTGTATTCTTATAAATGATTATATCTTACAGCAGATAGTATAATGTATCTTATAATGATACATTTTGAACGTATTTAAATGTATTACATTTTGTACGTATTTGTATACGTAAAAATGAATGTGACTAAAATGTATGCACCTATGATTTTATCTAGAGCATATGTACAGATATTTTAGTAACTCACACATGTACATACACTTATATTGGACGTATAAAATATATGTACGTTAGTATATAGCCAATAATTACGTATGTATGTGCAAACAATGTAGACATGTACATTTATACACTATGAATATATGCATTTTATGCAAATATTTGTGTATGTAAAATGTTTATCTATGTTCATGTACGCCTGTATATACAAGTATTTGTTGTTTGTACAAGCATACATACATTATCTGTATAATATATGTCCCATGCATGCAAGTGTAATTTATTTATGAACAATATATGTACATGTACAATATAGGTATATATATACAATATATGTATATATGTACATGATATGCATGTCCAATGCATGGATGTACATATACACAATATGTTCATGCTCAATGTATGTATCTAAATATGCATAATACATTTGTTAAAGATAGTGCGAACATTGGACACATTTATATTTTACATATATTCATACATACATTCGACATGCATATATTGTACAGATGTACATAAATACATTCGATTTGCATAACGTATGTACATACACACATTTGAGATGGATATATTGTACAGATGTATATACATATAGTGTAAAGATGTATATTCATATAATATACATATGATGTAATGAACATATAATGTACATATGTGTGCACGTATACAGCACATATGTGCATAAATATATTGGACATAATTCTTTCGCACAAATTTTACGTTTGTACATGCATGCTATCCCAATCTATGCAATGTACAATGTATATATGTCCAATGAATGTATCCACGCATGTACAATGCACGTATGTTCCATGTATGCATATCCATATGTACTATATATGCGTGTACAATGCATGAATGTATGTACATACATTGCACATATGTACATACATTACACTTATACATATGTACATTACATTTATGTCTAAATATGTGTACAATGCAATAAATAAAATGCGTATTAGTTAACTTATGACTCAAGCAAGTTAAATGACAAAATCAAACAATATTTAAACTTGCTTTTCAGCTTTAATTGTTCTATAGCATTTTAAAATTCTTTGAATAAAAAATTACTTTCAGGTATTTTCAGGAAATCTTTGACAATACAGATTTATTTTTTTATTACATAATACATGATTCATAGAAATTTTTTAAATGGCAAAAAAAGGCAAATTTTATATGTAGAAATAATATTTGGAAATTCAAAATAAGATTATCGTTTGCTTTATAAAAAATATGAGGTCAAGTTTTACATATCTTAGAATAAATTTTAAAACAAACTTTGATAACTTTACTTAGATAAATTTTTTGATGTATACAATGTACGTATATATTGTAATTACGTATATTTAAATGTACGCGTGAAATTACGTACTTGAAATTACGTGAATACTTGAAATTACGTACATGTATGCGTTGAATGCATATACGTACATTGTACTTATAACTATTTTTTGTACATCCATACATTACATGCGCATAAGTATTAACAAAGTATGTAGTTATACAACTACATACGTACGTTGCACATAAGTACATACGTTGCGTGTACATATACGTGCTATTATCACAAATTTATGCAATGTATGTACTTACGCATATAAATGCATGCATACGTATGGAAATTGTTTCACGTACGTTCATACATATGTTGTCTATGTACACAAACATACGAAGCATTGCATTCGCATAAAAACAAACATACATGAGTACATGTATCATAAATGCATAATTATGTGCACTGAGCATATGCGTATGGTATTATGTATATTTCAATGCAATTATGTACATTGTACTTACAAACGTTTGTGAATTTATTGCGTGTTTATGATATATATACGAATCAAAAATTGTACGTACATGCGTGCGTATTTTCTATGTACATAAAACTATGCATCCCCAAACATACTTACATAATGTATTTGCATATAGTATGCAATTGTAATTAATTGTAATTGTGTTCATTACAAGTAATCACAATTACTTGTAATCTAGACTACATGTAATCAAATATTTTGATTATTTGTAATCATGATTACCCGCAATCGTTTTTGTTGCGAATACTTGTAATCGCAATTACTTGGAATCATGATTACAGTTGTAATCAAAATTTTGATTACAGCTGTAATCAAGATTACAAACAATTGATTACTGTAATCAATATTGTAATCATGATTACAACTATTATCAAAATGTTTGAAAATTGTAATCACAATTACAAGTAATTGATTACTTTAATCGACTATTGTAATCGCGATTATAAGTGTAATCAAAATTAAATTATCTTGTAATCTTGAATACAAGTAATTGATTGCTCTAATCAAAAAATGTAATCTATTACATTTGTGTCCAACTCTGATGTGTAGTGCTTGTAACAGCATTACGGAAATTGATAGAATTGCCTCAGTTAACTAAGAGAGGAAAATTATTTTTTCCGTTCGTCATCCAAGAAGTTAACTTAAGATCTCTGTGGGTGAAACCATCAAGAGAGATCCACCAGTTTCTTCTAGCATCTAATGTTTGAATCTCAAGTGAATATGTTGATAAAATTATGAATAACTCTTGTGACGTGCCTCTTTTTATCTAAACAACAATAGCACAAACCCGCTCAACCTTGAATTAATCCTTCTGGGACGAAAGATTTCCGTAGACTTAAATCTTTCTTATCTTCAACATTTAAGAAATTCTTAACCTTCATATTTCAAGGTCATCCTTAATGAACTTTGAACCATATCGCAATGTACGTCATAATTCATTGATTATTTTTAAATTCAATAATTACAACATCACAAATACCCTTGATACCTTTGAGTTTCTTTGAAAAAGTACAAAAACAATTTAAAGTTGCTTGAAATTTCTTAAATATTTAAGGTAACCAAATTGGACTTTTTCCATTAGATAAGAAATAAGATTCACAGCAAAACTATAATGTTTTATACATTTTTTACGCGCATGAGCACCAAAAAAGAGCTAGTTTAATTACTTACAGTTTTCAGCGTATTCTTTTCAAATTTTAAAGCAAGAATATTGTACTTAATTTTAAATTACTTTAAGAATGTTGTTAAATTTTATCGAATATTTTTAATGTTATAGAATAAAAGGTTAGACAAAAAATTTATTAATGAAAATATCCATATATCCATAAAAATCTGAGCTAGGAGTACGAAATATTATACAATTATGGCATAAATTAACCAGAATAATTTTTAAAAGTAGCAATAAATTTAATGCCACAATTATTTGCCCAGGTGTTCAAAAACAATATTTTCCTCTTGTAATTCATTGTCGGTCCCTCTAACCTTTAAATCTTTAAAGCATCATTGATAAGTAAGATAAATGGCATGATTTAAACATTTCTGGAGTTATGAAATGTTTCTTGAATCATTTCGTGAGAAATATGAAAAAAATATATTAGTATCGAAATATTTCCATTATTTTGTCCCACCTTTTTATAGGTACTATTCTACCAAAAATGTGTAAATTAAATCCTTTCTTCTTTTAAAAAGGAAAAGGAACCTCTATTTAAAGACCCTGTGATAATTTCTTAGTAATCATTATATATTTTTCCCTAAAAATCAGCATTTTTTGAGAGAAAAGAATGAAAAAATGAAAGAAAAAAACATTTGTTAAAAAAATATATTATTACTGCAATTTTATTTAAAAACATTAACATATTAATCTTAGGATTGCATATTTTGTTTATATATTATTCGTATGAGATAAATTTGACTGATTACTGATTTCATTACTGATACATTACCATTACTGATACAAAAAACAAATAAAATAAAANTCTTGTATTGATACTTTTTTCTGAAATTTCTGCTGCTTCTTAGCGCGTTTTTTTCAAAGAAGTTTTATCCTTTTGATCTTAATTATTTGTGTTTTCTTTCAGTATTACCATTACTGATTTCAAATCTGTAATTGGTATCCATTACCAAGCCACTGTTATTTTAAGTTACATTTTTCGTCTCTTTTTTTTAATGAAACGTGCAAGTTTAAAAACATTCGATAAAACAAAGGGTTGCATAAATGTTGTGACAAATGTCTAGGGTAGTTAATGCACATCATCAGGAGTAAAATTTTATAAGAACCCACGCCCTGCAAATCATCGTGCGTGGTTAGGGCTGCTTCCTTATTATAAGCTAATTCTTCTTGTGCTTTTGAACAGTTTATAATAAGCCTAGCCACGTACAATGACATTTCTCGAATAGAATTCTTAGAATAAAAATGCTGATTAGCGAGAGTATCTTTCTTTCTCAAAAACGTCTTAGGCAAAGCTAAATTCATGAAAAAACTATGCTCTGATTCCAGAAAATTGATAGAATTACTTACAAGCCCCGGCAGGTGCAGTTTCTGAGCTGGTGTTAGGCTTTCCAATCATAGAATTGAAAGTAAAACAGGAACTGACAATTGGGGACTCAGTTTTTGGACTAAACTCTGAGCGTGTAAAATAGTACCTAAAAAGCAATATGATCATGTGAGTAAACATTAATTTCCAAATTTAGCATTCAAGTACTATTACTTATGATTATCGTGCCAAAGTCACTTAAATGTAAAGTCTACTTCAATAAATAAACACTTATTACATTGGAAACGATTTTTTTAAAAAGGAAATCATTCTCCCTTTAGCCCGTTGTAAGCCAAGGGGTCATGGATGTTGAGGTTCCACAATTTTATGAGCAACGGCATGACTATGGCAAATTTTGTCCTCAAGCCTTTACTTTCCAGGCAAGATGGTACACATTGTTCTGAAGCTTGATGGGATTTAAGCCTCCACTGGATCAAATCTTAATACCTACGGATTTGCCTCAGTGCCTTATAGATGTGTGCAAAAAATTCAAATTTAATTCACAAATTTAAAAAAAATATTGAAATATTAATGATTAACATTTAAGTGCTCTATCAGAAATTAATTAGTGAAAATTAAAGCAGTAAAAAGTAAAACTCCAAAATTTTATATATTCGTTTATGTCCCGCAGTGGACTGATCGTTAAGACACGGTTCCCAGCAGATCACCGAAGTCAAGCATCACTGGCTACGGTCAGTGTGCGGGTGGGTGACCACTTGGATCAGTCTGCGTAGGGACCGAGGGTGTGCGGTATTGGACCTCGTTAAACTGTGCTACCGTAAAGTGCTTGACTTCGCGCGCAGGTCGTCTGGCTACCGAAGAGAGGGTGCCATCCCCTCCGCAGAGGATCAAAATTGTGATGGCATGTCTTCGGATCATCCTGCGGGATGTTTCGCAGACCGTCGCCAATAGCCCATTGTGCAGCTATAGTGCGACGTAAATTAACAACATATATTCGGTTATAAACAAAAAAAAAACGAAAAAGGTATCAATATCATTCGGTTCATAAACTAAAAAAAAAGTATAAATATCATACGATGTGTTTTATCAGAAATTAAATTAATGTTTTATGTTAATTTTATGATTTTAATTAAATTTAAATGGATTCATAAATTGAATTTTAGGTAGCAAAGTAAACAGTGCAACTAGAATAATAAATTTTTTCTACATCCAGCTTAGACGCAAAAATAAATCAGAATTAGGAATTCCCATTACGAGAACCTGTGCTAGCGGTAATTCTTACCTGGTTAATTAACTATAACCTGTGGCAAATACTTTACCCTATTTAAAATTCTCAAGGATACTGAAGTGTTTATTTTCATCCGTTCATAACATAACCTCGTCTTTAGTTTCCCCCGGTTTTATCACGTTGTCATGTGTAGAGTGTGTTTGTATAACATGTCTATTGTAAGAACTCCTCCGCCACTAAGTCTGAGGTCATCTACTGCTATGGAAACAAGAATAACCCATTTCAAGAAGGGTAGCTTCTCTTCACTCTAGGGCTAATACAATAGACCAAAGAAAAAGCTTTCTTATTCCAAATCAAGACCTGTCCTAAACAGAGACCTACATCCCACTTCTACTTAGAATAGTTATAGATAATCTAATCGTTACCAAAGTCACCGCCACGGGTCCAAACTAATGACAAAGTCAGTTTTTACCTCAGACAAACTATAAGTGGGAAGCATGTTGATTGCATTTTATTATTTCTAACAAACATTGCACTCCTTGTAAATAAAATAGGTTTGTCATGTTTTATGAGATTCCCCTCGCAGGACAGTTATTTTTCCCTCTCCGTTTCCATGATTTTGTTAAATCTAATTTTTTTTTTGCCCTACGCTATTTCATTCTATTTATCTAAGGAAATGTACTGTCTTGGAAATAAAGCAAGACTTTGATAAACCATAGCACAGAAGAGGGGATAAGTATGGAATTATGGAGAGTAAGAAAATTGCATAGACATTTTTTCTATTAAGAAAGAGTATATAGGTTTTTATAGATCTCGTAGGCTTTTATTAATATTATCCCTTCTTGTTTTAAGTGCATTTTGTCCCAGAAAAGAGAATATTTACAGTTAATGTCTGATGCGATGGCTATCAGTAGTCTAATCAGAATTTTGATTTAAAAATATCAGAAATTAATGTACCGGCAGTCATCATGTTCACGAACATCGTTCCCCGTTAATCCCAAAGTACAGTAAACAAACATATCTCTTTTCGTTTGAAGAAAAATGGTGTAGTTTTCAAAATCCATGGAATACAGCTCTTCATAAATTGACCTTGTGGGAAGCTTAAAAATAGAAAGAAATGTAAGAATTAGGACGGGAGAAAGTTGAAAATGTTAAAAATACTTTAGATAAATACCTTTAATAGTTTGTAGGTCTCCTTTTAAGCTGTTTGTTTTAAAAAAATGCATTTGTAACACTCTTTGAAATATGAAATGAAAAAATTTCCTTAAATTAGGAATTTTTTTTAAAAGTAAACAATACCTAAATAACAGAAACGTGTAAGCTGATGTCACTACTCTTATTAGTCCACTGAATTGATTTATTTTTATACTGTGCTGCATACAAATTCACTTCTTGCGGCCGAAATCTTTTTCTGAGAAACAAGTTTTCTTCCAAGAAAAACCTGGAAAAATCTAGTTTTTTGCTTTTACAGTTTTAAGGTTTTTGATATATAAGCTTCTGCTGGCAGTTTTGAAAGCTAAAAGAAATTTCCTATCACTACTGTACCTACAAAGAGCTCGTAGAGCCAATCAACGTAGAAAGAATAGAATAATTGAAAAATTATCAGTATGAAATAATAACTTCAGTATTCGGAATGATGCCAGCAGAGAAAGCTAGAGGAGAACAATTTTCAGGTGTTTGAAATTTGAAAAAATTCTCTTGCAGGATCTAGTAATATATACACAGAATAATTTAGTTCCACCCTAGAGGGGAGAACACTCTCTTATAATCCCTAATTTTTCCTGAACCTTTTCCAAATCATTAATTTTAAAGTTTCCTTCATATTTTGAAATTTTTGACAATCTTCCTAGTTTCTTATTCATTGATACTTTTAACAACCCTCAAGTGAGTTCTTCTATCCCTCACTGCAATTCATTCCCAGCTCCTGAAAAAAGAGTATGCCCCTTAAACCAACTTTCAAATAAGCATAATTGTTTTAGCTTTAATACAACCAAGACTTTAGGTTTTTCTTTTTTTAATTTGCATGTAACTTAAGTTTAAATTTTGAATTTGTTCCATAATTTTATATTTGTTCAAAGCAACAAAAATTAGTAGCCCTCNAATTGGCATACACATATTTATTTTCTATCTTTTAAAATATCTTTCATTACTTAAGCTGATTTTTTTATTAATAGAATTACATTTAAAATAAATCAAAAACTTAATCTTTTTAAACGAACATAAAATATTTATTTCTTCTCTTCCAGATCAATGTAACGGATACTTTTTTTTATTTCATTACTAATGCAGACTTATATATTCACTGTCGCCTTTAATTGAAAACAAAAATCTATTTATAACTTTTTATTCTAATTTTCCAACGGCTAAATGTTTCGGTTGCATGGTTATAATAATTCACATAAATTTGTTGGCGACTCGTGATCGCCAAGGTATTATTTTAACTCTATATTGATATGCTGGTTGGCCTTGTTTTGGCTATGCTATATTTTAATAAATCGCCAATTTTGGATCTCCTACCCATGCTCCTGTGTCCGATCGGAACAAATTACACGTACTTTTTAATTTGGCTTTTGATTAGGCAGGTCGTGGGGCTTTGTCTCCCATGGCCTGACCTATTTTTAATATTACTATGCAAAACTTATTTTAACTGAAATTCTTATGAATGATATTCATATATTGTAACTCGAGCTCTGCAAATACTAAATAAAAGCTTTTTATTAATTCTAATCCGGCTCAACTATTATATTCATCATCTTCTGTTTTCATTACTATCTTCAACTGGCCCACTATACAAATACAACCTCCATCCACACAGGAAATAAATCCTTCTCGATAAAATGGCACACTGAATAATCCTTCTCGATAAATTGGCACCCTGATAACATCTTCTTCATAAAATGGTGCCTAGTTACAAGGAACGAAATTGGGTTATCAATGCAAGTCTTTAAAAGCATCTACTGATCTTCAAATCCATAAATTTTTTATCTTCACGGCTACTTCAAACCACTACTTCATACTGCTTAGCGGAGAATTTGCAATGCTGCGAATGGAATTGGAATTGGATGAAACTTGACCCTGGAATGGTTTCTTTAGATGTTCGACATTCTCCCTCCTACGCTACTCGAAAGAAAAATCTATTAATTTATGATTCATCATAAAGAAGAAACTAAATTTGTGTTTCCTTCAACTCTCGTCTTGCTTTTGATTTCGTTTTCATTGGATTTCATCGAACAGTCATCCGTTACGTATCCTTTCAATTATTTATATTTTATGTATATACAACATTTAATTGAATTTAATTTTTGTATGACAAATTGATAGAGCATTTGACTTAAAATCTTTTTTTTTAGAAGTTAAAAATATAATAGAAAAGTTTAATTTAATTTTTTTTTACAACCTGAAATTTTGTAATTTATCCAGTTAAGCGGCATATTTGATTTTATTATTAGCCTTTTGGTGATCTTTATACAGTTGAAGAATTTATTGAAAATTGAATTGTTGTTGGAATTAACTTCAATTCTGAAACGAATATATTTTCACAGGATTTTAATAATTTAGTTTATATTTTTATATCAGTGATAGGGATTTGCAAATAATATACAAAAGAAGTGATGTGTAAAATCAAATTTTTCCATATTTTATTTTCTATATAATAAAAAAAAATCGAGCGTTACGTTTTTTTTTAAAAATAAGCATTAACGATGTTTTCAGTGATTTTAAAGAATAGCAATAACATTTAAGAGTTTTTATGATTCCCATTTATTATTTTATTAAATGATATTTCAGTTAAGATTTTAGATTGCTTATAACTCTTGAATTAAACTATTTTAACGACTGATCAGAATGATTCAAATATACTTAGGTTTTCAAAGAAAATGTTTTTGGTAAATTAGAAAGAGTGTTTTCAAACTCTCTTGCGTTTTGTTTTTGTGGATGCTATGGGAGCTTTGGTGTGTTTGGATCTGATTTGACCAGTAAGCAAACTTTGTTAATTTGAAAAATTTCTTCAACTCTTGTATTCTTAAAACAGACAATTTCTTCAAAGCAAAACAAGAAATGATTATAGTGTTGGTTAGGTGTGATTTGCATGTGAAGTTTCTTTAGGTATCTTATATTTACAGATCGTGAGGTGTTTGTCATTATACTTATGTATAAATTTATTTTCAAAGATTAATTTCTGCAATCAAATTTTGCTATCTGATTAAGAATAACAACTTAAATATTCATATCAAAAATTGGTTCTTCAAAGGAATTTAAACTTTGTATGAATTAATTGGTCATTTTAACATTATTTATGTTACTATTTAATGTTTTGATTTTATACTGTTTGCCATAAATTGATATACTATTTATATATATTTCAAGTGCATTATTAAAATTATTGTTGTTCATTTACAAATGTTCTTAAACTAAATTAGAAATGTATTTTAAATAATACCGATAATAATGATATATTTTATAAACCCTTATGCACACTTAAATTTTGCAATTTAAATTAGCTTCAAGCTAATTAAGTTACTTTGAAGTACTCACAAATATCAATAATTAACTATGTTTTTGAAATGTTGCAAATTTCCAATAAGATAACAATACTTAATTATGGAATATTGACATCTGCACAAAAACACAATAAGGAATAACATGTTATTAAAATGTATTATAAGGATTAAGTTATCCCAAAGTGATTCTTAATCAGTACTTATAGTAGTGTAACATAATTTCACCCAGATTTTTTAAGAATTATGAAGTAAAATAATAAACACACAATTACACACTTTTGTTATCTTATGAAACTATGTGTTGGTCTGATATTTCAATCCTATAGAAGTTAGGTTGGTATGAGTGCTTGCAAATTTGAAAATTAAAGATTTCAGCCTCTCTATATTTTTTTTCTTTAATTAAAAATTTCATTAACTGTCTCATTGTTGCTGTTGTTTTGCATGGAGGCATCTATGCGGAATGATTTATAGTGATTTTCTTTACTAGGGCCCAGGTAATTAAAACTCATTAAGTGACATAGAGATATTTTTATAATAATATGAACATAGTAATAAATAATTCATCTAATATATATTTTCTTAATTTTACAATAGCTATTATATTTATCACAAATAGTTTTTTTTTCTTACATAAGTAAGCCATTTTATTCATTGCAAGTGCATATTCAACAGGGTTAATTCAAATAGTTACTCACGAATATTTTGTTTTATCAAAACATAAGTAAACTCAGAAATTATATTATTATATATAAAAAAGAAAAGAAACTCTATTGATTTGAACAATGCAACTGTTGAATATCTTTAAGTATTTTAATTATTATTAAATAAGTGTCCAACTGAGCTGAAAATAAATTCATGAAATTCAAAATAAGAATAATTGAGCATTCATATATAATATGACAATATTTTCCTTCATTAAAATGAAGTGAATTTTTATAGATGCAGTGAAAAATAAAATAAATAAAAATACTTTTATCTTCTTGAATATAATATACAGCCATGATAGTATAAATGTTAATACAATGCATCAAGTATGTAAAAATTCAGGTTAGAATTCTGATCATAGGCTTGCTATAACATTAATTCAAACGTTGATAGGGTTATAAAAAAAAACTATAAAATTATTTTACCTTGAATTTAATACTAGATAGCTGAGATAGTATAATTGTTAATACATTGTGTCACAAAAATTCAGGTTGGAATCCTGATCACATGCTTTCTAGATCATATTAATTAGTTCAAAGGTTAAAAAAAAAAAATTTTAAATAAAAATATAGAATAAAATATGATCAAAAATAATATCACAAAATCAAAATACTATCAATCAAATCATATAAAAATATGATCACATTAAAAGAAATATCACGTAAAAACAGAAAATTAAAAATAAAGAATAAGGGCGCTTTTTATTTACACGACACAATAACGACAAAACGGATCCGATTGTCGGTGAACGACATAGGGTCAAGTAAAATACACGGTCAGCAACGGAGCGCTTTTTCACTCATCGATACGATAACGATTATGTCGTATCCGACAAGGCGATATCGTTTGTCGGAATCAAATGTCGGTTAGGCAAGCAAATTTCTCCTCAAATTGTGGCGATTTTAGTAGTTGTTGTGTATCTTTCCTGTTTTATCTCCTCTTTTGATATCATTATTTTATTCTTTTTATCAATTTTAATCT